AAAAATGGCCTGAGCTAAAACCCTGGTTTGGTGCCTGAGTTTCGGGGCAGGCCGAACTCATGAGGGCCTAAAAATGGCCCTCAGTTTCAGGCTGAAAAGACTCAGCGCCGGAAAGGCCCTGATTTAGGCTGAAACGACACAGGGCCTATAGGCCCTGGTTTTCAGGCTTTCAGGCTTTCAAGCTGAAACGACACGGGGCCTATAGGCCCTTGTTTTCAGGCTTTTAGCCTGAAAACGTCACGAGCCTGAAAGTGGCCCGTGCAGCCTGTTGCAGGCGCAGCATGTAACAACCCCCCCTCCTTATGAAGTCAAGCTGGGGCGAGGGCGAAGCTGACAATCTGAAGGTGGAACGTGGATGCAGGTGCGATGTGGAGCTGAAGATACCGGCTTGCCTTGCATCTTGCGTTCGTAGCGTGCGCTAACATCTGGAGTTGTTGCTTGGAGTTCCACACGGGTCAACCAACGGTCAACCTGGTGACTGCAGTACGCAAAGTGTACCAAGTACTCAGTTGGCCTGTTGTCTTAGCGTCGCTGAGAGATGATGTTGCCGACCTCTTGAAAACCGTCCATAGAGGGTGGGTCTTGTGATTGTCGTCCGGGAAAATAGTCAACTTGGAGCAACGAAAGACCGGGTGGACGGGCAAGTGGGCGGGCACCTGAATGGTGAAAGAAGGTCCTTCGGTTGCATCCCCAGCGGGTGCCACGATCAGCCAAGGCCCCATCCATTTCGGGAGGAGCTTGCGAGATATATCTTGTTCGAGGCTGAATTCTGCAGCGGAAACCCAGACAAGGTCGCCGGCGCGGAATGGACAGGGAAGACGCTGGCGATTGGCTTGTTGGCTCATGCGTTGCTGCGTCTTTATCATTTGGTCCCGTGCCTTGACAAGGAGCTCTTGCATCCGACGAATGAAGAGAAGATGATCGTCGCTCTCGGCCGCCCGTGGAATGATTGTGTCCAACGGAGAAGTGACCGGCGAGCCGTGCTCGAACTTGAAGGGCGACATCCCGATAGTCGAGTGGATGGACAAGTTGTGTGGCAGCAGCTCAACCCAGTCCTTTTGGTCGGAACGATGAGGGTGCGAAGGAGAACCTGTGCGGTCTAATGCGCCCTCTCCGTTTGGCTATCGGTTTGGGGGTGGCGAGCCGAACTTGGCTTGAGAGATGAGCCCCATCGTTTAATGAGTGCCAACCAAAAATCGGACATGAACCAAGTGTCACGGTCGCAGACGATTTCCTTGGGGTAACCCTTAGTTCGAATCCAACCGGCGTAAAGAACCTCGGCCAATTCCGGTGCCTTGGCATGATAGTGGCAAGGAAAAAATATGGCGAACTTGGTGAGTCGGTCGACCACCGTGAGAATCTCATCCACTCCAGTTTTATGCTTGGGGAACGGCCCAGTAATGTCCATGGCAATCGCTTCCCTTCGGCGCAAGGGGACTGCCCGGACTGGTAATGGTCGCAACTCGCCATACGGACGATGATTGCGGGATTTGCAACGTCGGCAAACCTCTCATGACTCGCAATAGCGTGTGACGTCGTCGAGAAGACCGGGCCACCA